GACCCTGAGGCAAAAGTTGTTCAGTTTATTTTTCTGCATAACATAGTTTTTTTTTCAGATTTTTTTTTTTTTTTTTTTTTTTTTTTTTTTTTTTTGGCTGGGACCATCCCAAGTCCTTGCACGGCCGGGCCGCCCGGGAAAATAGGGTGACCAGTGCGGCCCGGCTGGTAGCCTAGCCAAAAACTTGGAAAAAAAGAAAATTTATGTGCATCACCCACCGTACAAAAGAACTTGCAAATTCTTTCCTCACTATACACCAAAGATAAAAATTTATCACCCACCGTACAAAAAACTCGAAGAGAAAAATTTATCACCCACCGTACAAAAAACTATGTACATCACCCACCGTACAAAAAACTATGTACATCACCCACCGTACAAAAACGTGCAATTTCCTCACTATACACCAAAAACTTGAAAAAAGAGAAAAAATTATGTCCATCAAAATGCAATCGCCGTACAAAGCTCTCATAAAATTCAATCGCCAACTGGAATTATGTACATAAATGGGTTTGTGAAATCACACAACAACCAACAGACCAAATCACAAAAAAAATCATCACCCACCAACCTGGAAACCTGTCTCAAATCAACCGGAGAACCGAAACCTCTCTTGGCTGAGGTAAGAGCTCAATAGCGCAGCAATCAATCCACTACCCTCCTGTCTTCTAATTACACTCTCATTTTTCCTTCTCTCTCTCTCTCTCTCTCTCTCTCTCTGTGTCTGTGTTTGTGTTTGAACACGTGTGAAATCCATTCCCCCCTGTGAGCAGGCGCTGGGCCCCTGCCTCGCCTTGGCCCGGAGAACCATTAATCCCTCTTATTGTGAATATCCCTTGATACACTGAACTGCAACACCGGTGTGTTTGGCCTTGAGCACGAGACGGAAGCCCTTGTTCTTGAGGCCTTCATTTGAAGACGTCGACAAGGTTTATTTGTGGTGAAGCAGGCAGTCCATAAAAACGAGGACTGCAAACTTCAGGAGCCCCAGTTATACACAGCTACCCCCGCATGAGTCTACTGTCGAACAAAGTGTAGTGTCATGTCTCGTCTCTCACAAGCAAAATCAAGCGCATAGCCTCATCTACTACACCTGCACACATACAAGCCAAGGCACACACACAAACGAGAGTCAGCCACCGAGCGGACAAGGAACACAACCTCCTCCCTCACTCTTCCCTCACAATCCATCTCCATCTCTCTCTCTCAGCATTCATTTCACACCTCCACACATGTGTACCCACCCAATCACAAAACATTCATTTCACTCTCGCACTCTCACACACACTTCCGTTTCGGTTTCTGCAACCTGTTGTGGAAGACATTTTCTTTTGTTTCTTTTCCCTTTTCACCGATAAATTAGCTGCACTTGGTACGGAAGCGGCGCTTGTTGGCGGGCACAAACCCTCCCCTCCTTGTTAACAACATGTTCCTAACGAGGAGTGTGCAGTGCTGAGTACCATCGGTCGGTCAGCAGGGGCCACGTTCATAACTTGTATGCGTAGCCGACCACCCTTCCCTTATTAAATCAAGGATTCCATCAACTTAACAAGAGGCAACAAAGTATGCTGTCTCATCGAAAGCTTGTGCGAATCCAGGGGGCCTCACTGGCAACAGGGGGGCATTTCAAACCCCCCCGGGAAAAAAGACCAGCTTCACAAACACCACACTATCGGTGAGCCGGTTGAAGTGAGACTACGTCCTTCTCGCCAAACTACTACCCTTATTTGACATATATCATAGGCAATCTTTCAACTAAACTGCATACCGCTTCCATCATCGGTTGCTGTCGTACACGTGTACACGTAACGGCTAGAGAAGAACGCCTGCTCAACTTCGATCACTACCTTACTCAACATATAGCATTGGCAATCTTTCAACTAAACTGCATACCGTTTCCATCACCGGTTCAGTTGCTGTCATACGCGCGTACACGTAACGGCTAGAAGAACGCCTGCACGACTTCAATCACTCCGAACAGGGCACCCTTTTGCAATAGCTGGGGCGCTGGAGCCGCACTAACCCCCTGTACAGAAGGGCACTTGAATTAGGCCCTGCAGACCTACTCACCCTATAATGAAGGGGGAACTTTCATAAGGCCCTGCAGCCGCACTTACCCCACACTGACAAGCACTTGCAGCACTAGGCCCTCCAGCCTCAGACTGACCGCATGCCGAAGAGCATGTGAACTAACTAGGCCCTGCAGCCTCATTCACCACCACCTTAGCTTTTCCACTAGGGTATAGAGAATCTGGCAAGTTCGTAGGCCTGCTCGGGTCTCGCCAGAGTCCCCTCCCAACTCCTAATGGACTGCCGCTCCAGCAAGATCTGAGCAGGACATGTAACATGGGAGCCCAATTAGACCACCACGACTCCGAACAGGCCACCCCTTTTGCAATAACTGGGGCATGGGGTCGGTGTGAGGCTGCAGGGCCTTATGAAAGTGGGGTGGGGTTCGGGAGGCCTTTTTGCAGCATGAAGGGGGCCTGTTTCGCCTTTCTTGAAAAAAATGGCACCTGTCGCAACGAGGCTTTGGAATGGCTCATGTTGTGTTGCTATGGACCACAATCCACACTTCGACCATCACCTCTGGAATTCCAGGGCCCCACGTGCGAACCAGGCGCGACACTTTTGAACCCGGTCTGGATGATCAGGCCAATACATGTTCTGCTTCGCTGGTCGCAGACCAAGGTCAAATACATGCTTTTTGCTCTGAACCACACCAGAAGTCCTCCATGTGAATCAGGTCTCAGCTGAGCTGGTCAGGACACTTGTAAAGCGCTTCACTGGTCGGGATTCTTTTGCAAACCAGGTCTGGATGCTCAAGCCAATACATGCTCTGCTCTGAACCACCAGGACTCTTTTGTGAACCAGGTCCTGCATGCCAGTGCATGGTAAGGACTCTTTTGTCAACCAGGAACCAGGTCCCGATGCTCGGGCCAATATACATGCTCTGCGCTGAACCGCCACGGCTCCATGCGAACCCAGTTTCACTTGTCAGCACTCTTTCGTGAACCAGGTCCCGACTGGTCAGGATTCTTTTGCCGACTGGGACTTTGCCCGACTCTTTTGGGAACCGGGTCTTCGCTCGACTCTTCTGGGAACCGGGTCTTCACTGGACTCTTTTGTGAACCAGGACTCTTTTGTGAACCAGGTCCATAGAAGCTACGTGTGCTCTAATTGACCCCTTGTGTGAACCTGGTCACAAATCTGTGCCCTGTGTCCTTCACAATCATTCCACTGTACTCTTTTGTGAACCACATCTTCACTGGACTCTTTTGTGAACCAGGTCTTCAACGGACTCTTTTGTGAACCAGGTCCATAGATGCTATGTGTGCTCTGAATAAGCCCTCTCTGCCGGTCACACAGCTGTGCCTTGTGCCCTCCACACTCATATTTCCAGGATACAAACTTCACGGCACTTGGTTTTTGAACCAGGTCTTCACTGGAGTCTTTTGTGAACCAGGTCCTCAGCGGACTCTTTTGGCAACCATGTCCAGGTTCATTGCTCCTCCTAGGACCATCGATCCTCCTAGGATGAACCTGGACCATTGATCATCCTATTCTGTAGCTGTAATGACCGGGACTCTTTTGTCAACCATGTCCAGGTTCATTGCTCCTCCTAGGACTCTTTTGTCACTGTCCAGGTAGTAGCGGTAATGACGGGGTGTTCTATTCCTCTTATGTGTGCCCTGAATAAGCCCTTTGCCTGTAGCACAGCTGTACCTTGTGTCCTTCACACTCATTTCCAGGATACAACAAACTGCCAACGGGGACGCAGGACTTCTTTATGAACCAGGTCTACATGCTTGGCTTGATACATTCTATGATCGGCTTTGTGGATTCAACCTATGCTCCGAACCGCCAGGACTCGACTTGCGAAAACAAGGCCTTTAACTCGTCAGGATTTCTTTCGTGAACCAGGTCTACATGCTTGGCTTGATACGTTCTATGATCGGAACAAAACCTTTGTTGGTCACACAGCTCTGCCTTGTTCACTTCACACTGATGTCTTGGATGCGATTCATGCAAACACTTTGCTGGTCCTTGGCGCATTTGCTCAGTTGCCCCCCTGCTTTGCAGCCCATTTGCTCAAGTGGCCCCTCCACTTTCTTCATTCCAATAGCAGTGTTGGAAGGCAACTGTTTGGGGGGGGGGGGGAGGAGGGCATGGAATGCTTGCAAATTTGAAGAATACCCCTAAGCTATTATCCCCTTATCAAGATTGGCATGAAATTGCAGAGCAGTGGCGCAGTGATGCCATGCCCACTCTTCTCGTGTGAACCGCACGAGAACTACTACCGGTAGTAGCCTTCTCCTGTAGATACGATAACCACACGGTTCCAACTTGTAAGCAAAGCCGTACCTGTGTCCAATTCCCAGTGGGGACCACCACACGATTCAAAGCCTGTCTCTTATACACATCTAGATGTGTATAAGAGACAGCCCCAACCCCCCCTGCTACAAAGAAAAGGGAAAAACTACAGCGCAGTCATGGCTTTAGTTCCAAAATGTAAGCCTGCACGGTATCCCTGTGGGCCCTGGGGTTCTCGTGGAAGGAAGGCCCGCCTGTGGGCCCTGGGGTTCTCGTGCAGGAAGGCCCGCTTAGGGTTCAAAAACACCTAAAAGATTTTAGCAACACTTGGTTCTGTACATTGAGTTCACCCACGAATAGCAATGCACCTAGACATATTACCGCGTTGGCCCAAGCACTGCAGATCGTGTTTGGTATTTTGTAAGCACACCAATGCACGTAGACATAGTGCATGTGCGTGTGCATGCACTGGCATTCGCCCAAGATTTGCAGTTGCAGTTTGCTATTTTGTAGGAGGGGGAATAGCAATGCACCCAGACATCATGCATGTGCATGTGCATTAACTATGGTGTTCATCCAGGAATTTCAGTTCCTGTTTGCTATTTTGTAAGAATATCGATGCACCTAGACATCATGATGTGCACGTGCATTAATTATAGTGTTCATCCAGGAATTTCAGTTCACTGTCTTCGTGCATGCTTCAAGGGTCCCCATGCGTGTGTGCGTTGCCACAGTCCTCTGCAATAGCTCCCATCCCAGCCACCTTGCATTGTGAAAGTGCCTATTTCGCATGCACAGAGAGAGAGAGAGAGAGAGAGAGAGAGAGAGAGAGAGAGAGAGAGAGAGAGAGAGAGAGAGAGAGAGAGAGAGACGTATCATAAGACTCACAGAAACGTGTCATACAAAACCATTCGGGTTGTGTCCTTGTTGCACTGGATTTCCTAGCAGCCAGTCTCCGTTGCCATACTTACGCAGCACAAACAGCAATGGGTTAACTATTGTGTTCACTATTTTGGAATTTGCCCCTCTTGTGTTCACTATTTTGGAATTTGTCACTCTTGAACTCGATTTCGGATTCCCCGGCCAGCATCTTTTGTCGAACCTATGCACTGGTCAAGCACCTAGGACCCTTGTGAGATGAACCCCCCCCTAGCAAGAGCTGGAATTTGCCCCTCCATGAATTAACAGCCTGAATATGCGCTGGGCAGACATGCAGAAAAGCAGATCGATCCCAACGCACCTGTCCACAAGCATGTCCAGATTCGGGCACGCTAATTTGCGATTAAATCCAAAATCCTCTTTGGTACTGTCGTGGAACTCCACTCCTCATCTGACGTAATCTGCGCCCTTGTTCAGGCCTTCCGCTGGAGGCGTCCACTTGACGGGTGGACCTTGACTAAATATTTATTAAATATTTATTAAATATTTGTTAAATCTTTATTAAATATTTATTAATAATACTAAACATTTATTAAATATTTATTAATTATTTATTTTAAGCTGACCTTGACTAAATATAGCAGATGAAAAAATGTTCATGCCTGCTAATGCACAAGCATAGGAAAAAAAAAAAAGAAGAAAAGAGGTGGAGCGAGGTCCCACTAGCAAAGGGGATTGGATAAATATCCTGAATCTGGACGTGTTTTAGCCAGACATGCAGAAGAGCAGTTCAATCTCGACATTCTGCACCTTTCCACAAACACGTCCAGATTCGGGTCTTCAATCCTATCCTCTTTGCTAGTGGGACCTCGGCCCTGGTGTGTTACTTTGTCTGTTTGTTTGTCCATTTATTTTTCTTATTCTTCTTCTTCTTCTTTTTTTTTATTTTTATTTTTATTTTGAGGACAGGTGGAATCTACGTGAAAGCACTGTCCAGCTGAAGACGCCAGAATGGAAAAAAAAAATAAAAAAAAATACCATGTCGAAAAACCCTGCGGTGAACTCACAAGCCAAGAGAATTGGTGAATTTCCTTCCTGGGGCCAAGTCCCACTTACTCGTATCCCCCTTCCATTTCTGACCCGCTATCCTTCATTTCTGACCCCCCCTATAGCCCATATCCTTCATTTCTGACCCCCCCTATAGCCCATATCCTTCATTTCTGACCCCCCCTATAGCCCATATCCTTGATTTCTGACCCCACCTAAGCCCATATCCTTCATTTCTGACCCCAGCTAGCCCATATCCTTCATTTCTGACCCTAGATTACAGAGATCGACCGTCAGAAATGAAGAATTTCGGCAAGTGGGACTTGGCTCCCGGCCTCGCCCTTCCCTTTTGAGTTATCAAATGGATATATGCTTTACTGTAAATGTATCTGACCGCATTTACAGCCAGGCCTGGATGCATCTGACAACAATTACGTCCATAAAAAAACTTAAAAAAAAGTGAAAAAGTCCTAGTGGTGAGTATGACCTAAGGCATAGGCATCCACTTTTCGCCAACATAGGTTCAGTGGCAATGAACTATGTCAAGGGTCACTTTGAATTGCCATGAAAAATAAGACCTACACAGGGGACATTACTCGCACTAAGGAACCTTTTCTACCAAGCTCTGGCCGTAATTGCAGTCAGATACATTGAGGAAAACTCTAGTGTGAATGTGGCGTCACTGGAGGAAAATCTGCGTGCGACATCAGAAAATGCAGAGTTAAAAGCAACAAAATAGTGAAATACAGAAAAAAGGAAAAAAAGGAAAAAACAAACGACTTCAAAATTCAAACGTTTAAGCCACATGGGTCTTGCCGCAGCACCCCTATAAACCTGCCCCCCTTTGCACTAGAGGCCACAGGGGCCAATAGATCACATCACCGGTGGGGCCTGCCCCAACAGTTTGTGTGTCGATACCGTCTATGTCGGTCTGTGTTCATTGTGTACGAGTGCTACTGTGCACATATGGGAGCGCATGTATGCTCGTGTGTGTGCGAGTATACCTGTGTGGGTGCATTTACGTTTACCTGTCTATTCTGTATCTATGCTAGACTATGTTCGCTGTACGTGTGTGCTATAGTGCATGTCTGTGTGTTGTCATGGTTGCTGCACATAACACAAGAGAGAGAGAGAGAGAGAGAGAGAGAGAGAGAGAGAGAGAGAGAGAGAGAGAGAGAGAGAGAGAGAGAGAGAGAGAGAGAGAGAGAG